TGTAGGATTTCACATCGCCTGCGCAGTCACACATTATAACTCAAGACCTGGCTATCCGTAAACCCAACTCGCAGGAAACTCGACTTATCCACCACGGTAACTTAGTTGGTTAAAGAAGTTGCTTTGCCACAACTACTACTACTACTACTACTACTACTACTACTACCACTACTACTACTACTGCTAATAGTAGTAGTGGTGGTAGAAGTACCTCAATAACTTAAATAGTGGCTTAGTAGCAGCAGCGGTACATTTCTGATCCACCCTCCATTGAACTGATGAGTTCGTATCACTTTAGGTGCTTGCTATTTGCCCCTGACTGGAATGACCTGCGGCTGGTGGCAGCGGCCGCACTAAATGTCAGGTGAGGTCAGAGGGCGGGACGGACAAGGACCGCGGCACGTTCAACTTTCGCCACCAATTTCTTCCGCTCACCTGGAATTTCACGATTGGATAGTGAGGGCTTATCCCAGAAATCCACTCAATTGAAAGGTTCGGACAGTCATAAAAACAAAGACAAACACATCGGTTGCCAGAGCTAAGCAGCGAGCCTCCCGAGCGCTACCGGTCACCCTCCGGCGCCACTGGCAGCGCGGCCGCAGGGCACTCACCAGACTGTCCATGCCGAGCAGCTCCTCATGCAGCAGCGCCACCACCTCGTGGTGGGGCCGGCCGGCCGCACCGTCAGTCGCCGCCTCCGACAGCCTCTGCAACGGCAGCGGGCAACGTTACAACACCGGCCAGGAGGAACGGCCGCACCTGGACACGACCATCTCTGCAATACCACCGTGGTGCTGCGGCACTGATGCAGGATGGGGTGCTCCACATGGTGCTGCACGGTGGGCTGGAATACGGTAGGCATCAGGGATGACTCCACCGACTCCACCAGCGTCAGTGAGCCCCCAGGAGCGTCTCTGACAGTTCACGGCAGTGTGAGATTCAGAGTTTGCACCAATTATCTCAGTTTTAGCGGAAGTCACTATGCAGTAAAGACGACTTCCTTTTTGCAATGATCGAGATGCGTTAATAAAAGGTCGGATTATCTCAGGTAAGGCTGTTGACAAGTGTGATGTTTTTCTATCTTGTTTTTTTCTGCCACGATTGCAAAACATCGGATGTCCGATTTCTCGCAGGGCCAACTTTTCCGCCATTAACCGAGATGAGTGGCACCATACAACTGCAGCATATCATTTCAAACGTGTCCTCACAGATAAGGCAGGAGAAAAGGAGCATTTCCCGCGAAGTGAAACATATCTGGAATACCAGAATGAGCCTCATCTGTGCGCACAGCTTCACACACGCATATTCGGCCAGACATGATTCCGACTTTAACCAGACATGCCACAATAATTCAGCCAGGGGCCCCGGGGGGGGGGGGGGGGGCGGCCGCCGTGCGACGATAACACCAGCGGCTCGTGCTGCACATCCAACCGGCCTCATCGGCGGCTCAGGCGTCCGCCGACGACTGGCGACTCAGCAGAACGGCAGGGCGCGGCGCCGGAGTCGGCGTCAGCACCAGCCTCCGCACGACCCTCCCCAGACGAGTCGGAACGGTAACAACGGCAAGGACAGACATGCCAGAGGCGACCACCGCATCACCAGCGACGCGAACGGCCCGAATGCGGCGGTACTGCAGCCTTACTCGCCAGACGACGCATGGAGTCTGTGCGGCTTTATTCTGCCGTTGGACGCTGGGTGCGAGTCGGGTCATACGAGAGACGCCCTACCTCAGGTCACGCCACAGCGGCCCTGCCTCAGGTCACGCCAGAGCGGCCTTGCATCAGGTCACGCCACAGCGGCCCTGCCTCAGGTCACGCCAGAGCGGCCCTGCCTCAGGTCACGCCGGAGCGGCCTTGCATCAGGTCACGCCAGAGCGGCCCTGCCTCAGGTCACGCCAGAGCGGCCCTGCCTCAGGTCACGCCGGAGCGGCCTTGCATCAGGTCACGCCAGAGCGGCTCTGCCTCAGGTCACGCCAGAGCGGCCCTGCCTCAGGTCACGCCGGAGCGGCCTTGCATCAGGTCACGCCAGAGCGGCTCTGCCTCAGGTCACGCCAGGACGGCCCTGCCTCAGGTCACGCCGGAGCGGCCTTGCATCAGGTCACGCCAGAACGGTCCTGCCTCAGGTCACGCCAGAACGGCCCTGCCTCAGGTCACGCCAGGACGGCCCTGCCTCAGGTCACGCCAGGACGACCTTGCCTCAGGTCACGCCAGAACGGTCCTGCCTCAGGTCACGCCAGAACGGCCCTGCCTCAGGTCACGCCAGGACGACCTTGCCTCAGGTCACGCCAGAACGGTCCTGCCTCAGGTCACGCCAGGACGGCCCTGCCTCAGGTCACGCCAGGACGACCTTGCCTCAGGTCACGCCAGAACGGTCCTGCCTCAGGTCACGCCAGGACGACCTTGCCTCAGGTCACGCCAGAACGGTCCTGCCTCAGGTCACAGCCACGAGCCGGTGCATACGCAGAAGTGTACACGGTGAAGCCAGTAGCCCCGACAGGTGCACCAGGTCTATTGTTTGCAAACACTGAGCGTCAGCAACTCGGCGCAGCTCAGTGTTTGCAAACTGCCGCACGTGGCAGCTGGACAGCGGCGCGTAACAGCTGGACAACCGCACGGGACAGCTGGACAACCGCACGGGACAGCTGGGCGGCCGCACGGAACAGCTGGACAGCCGCACGCGACAGCTGGACAGCCGCACGCGACAGCTGGCCAGCCGCGCGTGACAGCTGGACAGCCGCGCGGGACAGCTGGACAGCCGCACGGGACAGCTAGACAGCCGCACGGGACAGCTAGACAGCCGGTGTGTGATAGACGCAGGCGACAGTCCAGTGCGGCCAGTCCCGTTGGCCGGTACGGGGCTGGATTTGCACACCTGCTCGTCTGCACGAGCACAGCAGTCGTAGCAGAAGGTTGGCGGTGAGCAAAAACTATGCCGTAGAAGGATGTCCATGTGAAGAGATTAAGCTCTTCTTTCGGAGTGCGGCATTCGGAGATTGTTTTAAATGTCTTACCAAAAAAGCTGTCACTAGAGCCTTTCCTTTCCGCAGGTTTCAGCAGAAACGATCGTCTCATATCCAGCATTTCTTCGGCTTCCAGTGCCGTTGATTGGCCTCTGATCCGCTGATTGACAATGTGTCTCGTCTATCACCTGAGGTGGCTCAGCAGTCCAGTCAGTCAGCAGAGCGTCGCCTATCGCCTGAGACGGCTCAACAGTCCAGTCAGTCAGCAGAGCGTCACAAATCAGCGTGCGCTGGGGTGAAAATGGGCGGCCAGGTACTTCCTCCTGACAGCAATCGTCAAAACGCTTCGCACACGACTGCACCTCAAATACAAATCGCTTCAGATGCCATTCGATCGAGCGATCCCATAGGAAAGTGCTCAGGGAGCCGTTCTCTGCAGGCGGGCGTACATCCGGCCGGAGACTGGCCCCAAAACGGCCGGCTCGTCTGAACACTGCCGACCCAGTCACGCTCGACGGACGCCCAACGAGGGCACCGGGGCTGATCAAACCGCCCGTCCCCGGCGGCCGACAGCCGGCATTCCAGCTGCCACACGCTCGAGCGCGTCCAGCGCCACCCTTCAGCCAGACCAGGGAAGGCACCGACAGCGGAGGTGGGACGCGCTCAGAGCTCTTCAGCCAGACCAGGGAGGGCACCCACAGCGGGGGTGGGACACGCTCCAGGCTCTTCAGTCAGACCAGGGAGGGCACCCACAGCGGGGGTGGGACACGCTCCGGGCTCTTCAGCCAGACCAGGGAGGGCACCCACAGCGGGGTGGGACACGCTCCGGGTCGCTCGCGACATCTGTGAGGGCTCGGGTCAAACGTGACCAGTCAGACACGAGGTTAACGCCGTCCGTGAGGTCACTGCCGTCCGTGAACCTGATCACACCGTGCTCGCGCTCTGTCCCCGTGCTGGTGTTTCCGTCTTGTTTTCTAGAGCGATCCACTTCGGTGTATGGCACGGCACCACGCCCGTCCACAAACCAAGGATTAGGGGGGGGGGGGGGGGAATGCCGGAGTAGCTGACGGCACTCCCACCCTGGCTCTCGCGACGGCCCATGGATAACTGGCCAAGGAAGGAGTGCCAGAGTGGAAGATGGCACGCTGACCTCGGGTACGGTCGACCTCTCCCACTCCGGACAGCCGTGACCTAATTAAGAGCATTTTAAGGGTTTGAACGAAGGCCCTTTCTCGGGTCCCAGCCGGGCATCACCAGCAGTTTCCCGGGAGCCGCACCTCTGGACTCACAAAGGTGAAGGCAAGGTCCGCCCAGCCACTCCCAGGAAATAGAGATGAACTTCCGTCGCTAGTGTCAGCGAATTGGAATGAGCTCTTGACTGCCGGCCCGTCACGGACGGTAGGGGGCGGGGGAGGGGGGGGGGGGGAGGCCGTCCGCTCCGCACTGGCGCTCACCAATCACGCGCCCTATGGCGCGATCAATTCTGTCAACATGCTGCCATGATCTGACGCCAGACGATTTTGCGGAGGGTCACTGTGTATCGGCCCCAGCTCGACGAATCAATCTCCGGCCACTTTGAAAGCGCTTCAGGGCTGCCTGGGGCTGTTGCCAGGCCTTCAGCGGGAGGGGCGAGGGGAGGGGGGGGGGGCAGACGGCAGCCAGCGAGCTCCTCGGGTGGGGCGAGGGGAGGGGGAGGGGGCGGGCAGCAGCCAGCGAGCTCGTGGGGGCACTGCGGAGCCGAACGTGCTCGGCGTCAGCCAACTCTCAGACCGCTTCGCACGGGCCAAAGGGCCAGGGGCTGCCCCCCTACATGTGACGCATTGTTGTCCGATTGGACAGCTTCCACGGGCGTTGATTGCAAGCCGGGTATCCGGCAGAAACAAACGTGCCGGAATATTCCATCCCCGATAGGACGCCGCACGGCATACAGTGTCGTCCCCCCCGCGCCAGCTGGCAGGACGTCACGCCACGTCACGCCGATGCAGGGGGCCTCGCAGCCGATGCAGGGGGACTCGCAGCCGATGCAGGGGACTCGCAGCCGATGCAGGGGGACTCGCAGCCGATGCAGGGGGACTCGCAGCCGATGCAGGGGGACCCGCAGCCGATGCAGGGGGACCCGCAGTCGATGCAGGGGGACCCGCAGTCGATGCAGGGGGACTCACAGCCGATGCAGGTGACTTGCAGCCGATGCAGGGGGACTCGCAGTCGATGCAGGGGAACTCGCGGCCCGAAGCAGGGGGACTCGCAGTCGATGCAGAGGGACTCGCAGCCGATTGCAGGTGACTTGCAGCCGATGCAGGGGGGTCTCGCAGCCGATGCAGGGGGGACTCACGGCCGATGCAGGTGACTTGCAGCCGATGCAGGGGCCTCGCGGCCGATGCAGGGGCCTCGCAGCCGATGCAGGGGACTCGCAGACGATGCAGGGTGACTCGCAGACGATGCAGGGGGACTCGCAGACGATGCAGGGGGACTCGCAGCCGATGCAGGGGGACTCGCAGCGCCGCCCCCGTGCCGTCTTATGATGCCCGCCGGGACGGCGCCCGCCGTAAATGGCCCGCATCGCACGTGGGACAGGTGCCGCTGAAAGGGGGTGCCCTCCACCCGGGAGACAACAGACCGCCTGCCGTGCGTCTGAGCGGAGGCTCACACCTGGCACCGGACTCATTCACGAAACTCTCCGCGGTTGTGTCCCTCGTAGTGTGGGGTTCGGCGCTTTGAGACCGACCTGGGGCGAGTCATTGGTAACTCGATAATCTAACAGCTCTGTCAACGATCGTGAGAGGGAGACAGAGGTCGCGGTTTGCCTAAGCGCTTGTTTAGCCGACCGCAGAGCAGACAAGAGCAACCAAAGGGGAAACAGAGCAGTAAAGCACACCGCTAGCAAACTGTGGAAGCCAACAGCAACCAACGACGACAAAAACTCATTTATAACGATTGGATTTGGACTCATTTATAACGGCTGGATTTGCTGGACATTCAGATCGTTTGCTGGAAAGACACCGCACACAGGCGCCGGGCTGGGCGGCCAGCCTCAGGCCGCCAGCAGGCGTCAACCCACGGGGCCCAGCGAGTGGCGCTGTCAGCAGCCCACCCGAGCCGTCCTCACGCGCGTCACCACGAGTCCGGCGGAGCGCCGACCCCCGCGACCGTGCCGCCCACCGCCGCGGCCCGGCCTGCAGGGCCAACACCGGACCACAGCTGACCCTGGTGGCTCCAGGGCTCATACCGGACCACAGCTGACCCTGGTGGCTCCGGGGCTCACACCGGACCACGGATGACCCTGGCGGCTCCGGGGCTCACACACACGGACCACGGATGACCCTGCCGGCTCCGGGGCTCACACCGGACCACGGATGACCCTGCCGGCTCCGGGGCTCACACCGGACCACGGATGACCTGCCGGCTCCGGGGCTCACACCGGACCACAGCTGACCCTGGAGGCTCCGGGGCTCACACCGGACCACAGCTGACCCTGGTGGCCCCGGGGTTCACACTGGACCACGGATGACCTGCCGGCTCCGGGGCTCACACCGGACCACAGCTGACCCTGGTGGCCCCGGGGTTCACACTGGACCACGGATGACCTGCCGGCTCCGGGGCTCACACCGGACCACAGCTGACCCTGGTGGCTCCGGGGCTCACACCGGGCCACGGATGACCCTGCCGGCTCCGGGGCTCACACCGGACCACGGATGACCTGCCGGCTCCGCGGCGCCGGCTTCCGTGAATCAATCGGAGCAGCCGGCAGCCCGATTTCACGGCCAGCCGCCTCGGAGATGTCATATCTCGGGCGGCGGCCGGACAGACGGGCCACCGTCCCTGGCGGCGGCGGCGGCGGCGGCGGCGGCGGCGGCGAAAGCGGAGAGATGATGTACGTATGTACACAGCGGGAGGAGGCGGAGGGAAGGGGACACGACAATGTGGAATGGTACAAAAAACAAATGTGTTGAAAAAATTGCAGAATCATACAACGAGAGCAAAAAACAAAACAAAATAGACGCTAGGTAACGGCAAAAATATATGGATATCGTCGACAATGAGAAGAGTGAGAATAGAACAGGTGGATGCTGAAAGCAGAAAGAATGGGAACGTCCATGAAGTGGAGATATTGGAAAAAGTACCAGAAGGGAGGCGACGGAGACATGGAGATCACGGGCACCTGGCACGTGGCTGGTCTTATTGTTCGCCATGGGGGTCTTTATCCGGCCAGCCCCTCCTGTCGGCACGCCCTGACGCCTCGCCCCAGGGG